CTCACTACCTCCACAGGAAGGATCAGATTCTCGAAGTAGTCATCTGCCACAAGAAAATGTAGTTCCATGCCGTATCATGTGTAACTCTGTTTTTGGCACCTACATGATGCCTTCTTTAAGCCCCTTGATCTTCTGCTACCAAGGCGGAGTAAGAGTCTTCCAATTGCATATGTGACTGCAAAATCTACCACTAAGCTTGCAACAAGACAACCTGCTCCTCCAAGGCTTCAAAGGTTGAGCCATCCTAGAGGTGAACCCCATTGAGCAGGGTGAAGAGAAGTTCATGACCTCCACAGGCAGGATCAGATTTTCAAAGTAGTCATCCGCCACAAGAAAATGTAGTCCCATGCCATATCATAGGTTGACAGTGAGAGTGTTCACATTTACTATACTTTTATACATACCTAGTTTGTCCATCTATAGCCTCTTTGGTACATTTAGACAATAAGCGATGATAAGAATAGGCTTGCTCTTACTCTTTGTGCTTTTCCCAGTGGATAAAGCTAGAAGTATATGTGAAAATTGCAGTTAAAAGAGGTTTTTGTGTTAGGAAAGCATAAGTTTTGGGGGAGTAATAGTCAGTTGTTAAGATTGGATATTACCTAATCCCTACTTTCTTTTGCCTCTACTCTGGCTAATGGTGAATGTATTTTTATACTTATTAGTTGCCTATTTATTAGAGCATCTCTTTAATTTACCTTCAATTTTGATTGCAGGTTCTGGTACTTGTGGCATCACAGCTGTTATTGTGTTTGGGGCTGTTGGATATCTATGTATATGGTGGAAGGTAATCTATCATCTACTTCATCACAGACAAGTTCAATTCACCGAGAAGTTTTCTAGCTTGTCGCATAGAATGTCTTGTTTTTTAGTTTGAACGTGCTAGTTAGCTTAATTAGTAAAGACTTTGATAGATTATCACAAGGTCCTGGGCTCGAATCCCATCTTTATCACTTACTATATGCCAAAAAATTTAATCTAGCAAAAAATGTTCTGTTTTCTAATTGGAGCAAGTCTAGTGTATTGTTCATATTGTGTGTATTATATAATAATATATGAAATCCCTTGTCATATTAAATGCTTTGTACCTTGAATTTCCAGTCCGTAACTGGGAACTAATGGCTTGAAATGATCGTTATACAACATGCTTGGTCCATCCAAGATGAGCTGGCATTGTAAGGCACCATGTCATGACATCCTGTGGTGACTTGCTTGTCTAAGTGCCAGGCCACATTGCAGACCAGATGAGGAGGGCTCTGGTCTTTTGTTAATATGGGATGCACTGACATGCATGTTATACCTTTATTGCCTATAACTTGCTGGGGTTATCACAGAGCACTAGGCCTCAACTTGCCTTTTAATGCACAGCTAAAGAAATAATTGAAGCTGTTTGCTTTCATAAACAAATGGTAGGATAATGAGATTCAGTGATTGGATTAACCTGTAAAAAAAAAAGATTAGTCAGCATCAGTGGGCATGGAACGTAACTTTGTTGACACATGATTTTCAGTCAAGTGATACTTGTTAATTGTTATTATCACTGTGACAATAGAGCATATAAGATTGATTCTATCAATTTAGGATGTTTTGGTTGATGATCATGCACCTGGTTTAAGAGTTATAGTAGTTATAGAGATTTGTCTGGTCCGCAGCCCATATCATGAAGATTGAGAGATACTGGTAATGCATATTTTAATTTACACCAAGAAATAGATTTTAGCGGATACTATAGCAAGACATTAGCGTTATTTCTTTTTTCTGTTTTTTGAAGATTTCCTGAATTGCATTGTGAGGGATATAAATAGGCTTAAAATAAAGTTTCAAGAAGTTTTTGGAGTCCTTATAAGAACTCAAAGACCATCATATAGTTTCGGGATATAAGAACTTCAATATCAAGGATAGACATCATAGATGGTAAATTTCCAGTTGTTATGTTGAATAAATTATGTTATAATAGAATAATGTGTCTCCTGCCAGGTTTGGGAAGTGTATGAACAGTAACACCATGGTTTTTGATCAAAGATATCCATTTTATGATTGTTATTAGCAAGTCATCTGGTCTTCATAGTGCCTTGTGCCACTATTGCCAGTGTTGCATTGACAAGTGGCTGATATGTTTATTCTTTTTTTGAAAGTCAAGATTTTTTCTTTATCTATATGAAAATTTTGTGCACCTGGCAGGGATGGAAGGTTTCTGATATGATGTTTGTGACACGTCGTGGTTTATCAGATGCTTGCACTACAGTCGGCAAGCAACTGGAGCTAATCTCAGCATCAATTGCTGTATGTCATCATTTGACTTTGTCCTCCTGTTTTCTTTATTAAAAAAAACAATCAAGTATTCTCAAAATTCCTCCTTTTTCCTTAACTGCTCTCAACCAGAAAAATTATAAAAAGGATTGACATAATTATCTTTAATTTAATTGATTAGGAGATGGCTGTTCAGTGTAGCAGTAAAGCAAATGATCATGAAGGATTCAAAATATTATACATAATTTTTTTCCACTTGTTTCATTAAGCAAGTTTTACTTATAACCTTTGCAAATAGGTGCTTTTGCAGGCTCATGGACTAATGAATAGATGTAAATTGATGTTTTTTTTGGACTTTCAAGTATTTAACATGATCATCACTGCTAATTTAGAGGTTTCTCAGGAGCTGTAATAGAAAATGACTAAAAAATATTACAACAAAAGTATTTATCTGTGTGAAATCTAATTTGAATATTTGATTATGACATTATGTGCTATAAAAGAAAAAAAATGCAAAATGTTGCCCATGTTGGATATTGTATCTTTCATTTTTTTTAAAATTTACTTTCTCTTGAGATTTTCTTTGTAATTCTGGGAATCTGTAGACTGCTAAGCGTCATTTATCTCAAAGGATTGACCGTGCAGACATCAATTTGGAGGAGTGCAAGGAACTTGCTACTGCCACCAAATGTGAGGTGGGGAAATGCTTCTGTCCACTTCTCATGTATTGTACCTGTCAAAGCTTTAAAATGATATATTTTAAACCTTCAGGTCTCAAAGCTACATGGAGATTTGGGTTTGATTCACACCGATGTTGAATCTGTTCACCGTGCTGTCCAGACTCTTGTAATTTTTCACTTAGTTTTGCTTTGATCTCTTATCTTTTAGTCTAGAACAAATATTTGTTTATGCTGAATGTAACTTGTTACATATCAGGAGACAAAGCTTTTTCGAATAGAGGACAGACAGGTACAGTTAGAAGTTTCCATTGCATCAGTTCTTGTCCATTATTTTCCTTTTTTTTATTGTTGATGTAGGATCATCCATGTTAGGATTTTGCAACCCAAGGAGTCTATCATCTGTGTCAGTATGTGGAAAAATTAGAACAGAGCAAAAGTCAAGAACTTATTCAGGTAAAAAATTGTCTAACCATTGTGTAATTAACATCTCTATTGTCTCATTTATATTATGGCACCTATACCATTGGTATTTTTGACTTTTGCATAGAGAAGACTGTTTGACTGTCTGAATTTTTAAATATATTAGTTAAATACTATTGCTTAGACAACTTTTTAGTGGAAGGAATGAACTTTGTGTAGTGTAATACTCTTTTGGTTTGTGGACCTTGTATCATCGTATATGCTCATATGTTACTATAGATATAAATGACTTTTACTTTTGAGGTATCATTTAGTAGATGCTTATGTATCATTGCTATCATGTTTCTTGAAGTGCCCGTGATCCGTTAGATATTAGTCTGTGATGCCATTTGTTGATTGCTTACCTGATGTAGCAACATCATGTGCATGTTTGTCAACAACCTGATTTTTTCCACTTCAACAACTTGCAGGACTCACCATCCAGTTCTAGCCAAGCAATTGAACTTCCACAAGCTACACCGTTAGTGACAAAAGTAGGCTTATTGCTTTCTGTTTTCTGGTTGCAGTGCCTGTTTCAGTTTTTAACCTAATCTTACCAATCTCTCAATAGACAGACTCTTTGCCACCTTTGACCCTGGAAACACCATCATCGTCAATGTCTTTGTCGTCATCATCTGCTGTTGAGAAGTCTAAGGTGATGATTTTTGACATTTACCTCGACTTCTATGAGTGTCATATTATAGTATCTGATCAACTAAAGGTTTCTGGGGTTCTGCAGCTTGCAACAGCTGTATTGGTTTCAGACCTAGTAAAGCTTAGCACATATAATGTTCTTTATTTTGCCAAAACAGTACTAAGATCAATGCTGGTGTACCATGGTTGATCCTGAACCTTTCTTTGCTTGGAAGTGTCATGTGATAGCTGCCACATTATCATGGCTGCAATGTATTTTGAACTTGGAATACCCATGATTTTTTTGGATGTCATATTGGCGTGGCGGCATTTGCTGCTCTCTTACCAAATATGCAAATGTAGTGCATACTTTTCCACAAACCATTAGTTTATTTTTTTTTCTTTCACTTCATTGATTTGCAGGACTCACCATTCGCTTCTTGGCAACCAACTGAACTTCTACAAGCTACGTCGATAGTGACAAGAGTAGGCCATTGCTTTGTTGTTCAGTTGCTGTGCCTGTTTCTATTGTTAACCTAGTATTACCAACTTATGCCTATTTATCTCTTGATAGGTGGGCCTTTTGCCACCTTTGACACTGGAAACACCATCAACATTGTCTTCTTTGTCGTCACCATCATCATCACGATCTGCTAATGAGAGTTCTAAGGTCAGGATTACTGACATTAAGCTCAACCTTTTTTAAGTGGCCTATTTTGATGTCTGATGAAGCATGGGTTTCTCAGATTATACGACCATCAACAGCTGTCTCAGCTTCTGGGCTAAAGGTTAGCATTAATGTTCTTTATATTTATTTTATTTATCCTTAACTTTGCATAAGTGCTTCAAGAAAAACTCACAAAAACCAACTTCTGTCTTGTTGATTCAACAAATTTTGCCCCCTAAAGCTATCTAGATGTGGTAATCTCAATATGTTCCAAGCTACGGTCAGACTAATACAGTATAATTTCATATGAGCCATTTGATTGAAGGAAAATGCAATGCAGTATGATGGAGATGTGAAGGCTAAGAATGGCAGAAAGGAGAGGCTGAGAGTCATATCTTTGTTGGAAATTTTTGAAGCATTGTATGCATGATTATGCCCAGAAACTTTTTAAGTAAACTTCTAGATCTCCTGCTTGGACTATAAGCTTTTCTAAATTAGAGTATTCAGTGTCCCATGAAATCCTATTAAATGCCTCGAGAGCTCCCTGACCCTATATTGTCAGTAGGGGTACTCGATTCACTTAAATATGTCTCTGGCATAGTTAGCACTGACTTTGGAAGTCCACAAAATTCTATAGGCGGTCTTAACTTTCTTGATTCACGTATTCCAAACCATATTATTATAAAAGTTCATCTCAACTTAGCCAAATAGCTATTTGTTACATTAAGATCTGTAGCTGCATTATTAAACATGTGATATCTTCTGAAAAGAGTTTTGCTACTTGGGACAGCATTAGAATTATATGATTACTTGGGACAACTTGTCAACCTTGAATCTTGTTCTTGCATATTCATAGAATTTATCCTTTTCAGGAGGTAATAGGGAGCTCAGGATCTAGCTTCAAGGCATCGGGTTCCTCAAAAATTTCAAGCTTATCTCCGGTAAATGGACAACCGAGCAGCAATGCACAGTCCAGCAGGTCCACATGGAGGTTGCCGGACTTCAGTATTCTTACAAGAATCCATGGAACCATGACCAGATGATTCTTGACCACTTCTACTACTGATTTTTTTTACTACCACTGGCTGCATAGGTTATTAGAAGGTAGAGTACTACTGATTTGTTACTACCATCTAGCTGCATAGGTTATTAGAAGGTAGTGTGCTCTAAAGATGAGCATAGAATTTTGGTAGATGTGTAAATATTTAGAACATAATTAGTTTTACATAATTGCTTGGTTTTAAGATGAACACAATTTGTCTATAAGGCTTATGGCTTTCTTCCTTATGGTGTGTCTTTGCATATGACAGTTTTATCTTGTGGCTTTATGTGAGTTGTTTGATGAAATGAGTTTCATATCGATAGCCCGACACGAGTAACATTAACATTATAATTAGCTATGTTTTTTTAAATGTTTTTTTAAATGTTTTTTAATTATTTATTTGAAAAATCCTTTGAATGTGTTTTAATGCTTTTGTTAGATAACTAAGAAATTGAGGTTTAGAAGAAAATTAGAGAGGGGCAAGGATAAATCATCAATAAAAATAAAATGTAAAATATGGGCAAAACTGAGAAAATAAAATTAAAGTTTTTTTAATTGCTTAGCCAGTAAAGAATGAAACAAAATATAAAATTAAACAAATAAAATTGAGGCTTTTCCTCCAATCTAACTCCATAGAAAAAGCCAAATTCGATCGTATGAACCGTTTCTGAAATATTATAAGAGAAAGATAATGGAAAAACTACATTTTATATATGTTAAGAACATCATTCCAAGAGAGTTAATCGGTGTGATGAGCTGAGGAACATTATCACCTATGGAGATAGTTTTTTTATTTCAGGTATTTATTTTATTTATAATGCTTCTTTAAACATGGTGTAGCCATTGAATTATGATGCAGGTTAGCCAAACTTAAATAAGGTTTGCTTCAGAGATTTGTCATAGAATGGAAACCACACGACTATGAGATCATCCAGCTTGATGTCTACTTCTTTCTCCTCTCCAATTTTCCTCTAAATAATATAGAACATTAGTATTTTAACATTAGATCCATACCATAACATTTGTCACAATTATAACGTCTTATTTTGAGTTACCATTGGGTACAGTTCAGTTACTAAAACAACAAGAACACTCTCTATCACACTGCTTTAAGTGGATGTGCAGAATTAATACTCTCTCCCTCTTACCTCTTCCCCACAAGTTCTCTATCACAAATATTTCTCTCTCTCTCTCCATATATATATCCAATATGGAGCTGGTCGCTGTTGTAGTCATGGCAACCTTGGCGGCAACCAACGTGGTGGCAATGCCCCACCAAGAGCCAGCACCTCCACCCTTAGACTCGATGCCGCCATTGGTGTCAGTCCCCACAATGGAATACCTCTGCCAGGGCACGTCTTCGAATCCCTCCAAGGTGATGCGGCTCCCAAAATGGGTCTACAGCACAACCCATCCCAGCAATGCTGCCTGTGCCATCATTACTATGCTCCACAAGAGTTGCATCCCCCTCCTCCAAACCTGGTCCTTTGTCTTGGCTCACCGGATCAAGTTGCTTCAGTTTCGTTGTGACGAGTACCAGAGTGCCGAGTCGAGCATCGCCACGGCCCCTAGCAGCAGCCCGCGCAGGAAGGAGTAAACGCCCTTCTCGATGGGACGTCATGGATGTGGTGGGTGAAACTGAAAAATAAGAAAAATAAAAATAGCCTTCCTTCAATTAATTAGACAATATAGAATGAAACGAAACACACCCAAACAAAAAACAAAATTGATGTTACGTAAATATGTTCTTGGGAGGCTTCTTTTCAATCTAATTCCATAGATGAAGTCCACTTCCTGACTAGAAACAAAACATGAAACTATCAGTCTAATGCACAAGACTCCTAATATTATTAGATTATGTTAAATGTATATTATCCTAACTTTACAAGAAAATTCTCATTATTGATCACAGTTCACAGAGGAGTAATCTTATGGTCACATCCCAACTAAGTAAAAATAAATTATACACAATAAGAAATTTCAAAACAGAAAAATCATGCAAAGACTAGGTTTTATTATTGTTTCAAAAATCATTCTAGAGATGCCAAGTGACATTAGATACGCTTCTACCATGCTTCACTCAAATATCACACTAGGCATTTTGCATTAGTTTCTACAACATTATGCTTTGGGGGTCAAAGTTTGCCTCTCACAGTGTTTGGTTCCAAAACTTACAGAACTTCCATACTAAAACAAAACATGGCAGTACATGCAAAAAATAGTACGGGTAAAGAAAGAAGTGTTCAACAATGTTGAAGGAATACATTTTTGGGTTGCATCAATGACACTATTTTCGAGTCAATAGAACTGCATTGTTTTCTGATTGGCCTAAGGACTGGATACCAAGCCTTCCAATCTGATGAAATTATGGAATTCCTTGTGAGCATTTGATAATAAAGTTGAATGAGTACATTGTCAGTTTTTTGTGAGAGATCAATGTCATCTAATCCAAACATCAGATCAATAATAAAATCTCTTCTTTTCCACTCTTTTGAAACTCAAGCTAGTATTAGTTGTCATCTTAAACATGACAGAAAAGGAAGTTTCAAGAATTTGACCAACCTCATAAACTAGACTTGTAGAAATGTACCTTTCAAAGGTTCATCTTAATCAAAACAACCTGGCTCAGTCAAAACCCTTTGAGCCACTTCAACTTTCGAAGTACTCCAAAGCCAAAGTAATTGCAGCTTGATTTGTTCAATTTGGCTGGTGAATATACCAACAATGTCAGTAATCATAAAAAACAAATATTCATTAGAATACTGGTTAACACAAACATACATAATTGCTGGAATGACATACCAATCTTATGTTACGGCCAATATACAAAAAGTACATGAAGAAGGCAACTTCATACCATCCTCGTCTATACCTTCTGAATCAGTTCCTGCTATGCTATGCTAGACAAGCATCCATGTTCCATTCCAGTCCTCATGAGTCATTGCCATAGCCAAATTTTCTCCTACAAATTCTATAAACTTAAGTTACAAAATAAAAAAAGGGCTTTCACATGGTGCAAGTCTTTGACACCTACCTATATTGTTCTTTCCAAATCAAGCACTCTCCAACATCAAGGCTTGCCACCCACTTAAGAGGACTTAAATGAGCAGCCTGACAATGCTCTGCTGCATGGAAGACTCACATGTGTATCTGCTCCTGTCACAACCCATCCTGGTGGGATAACTAAAATATTAACTTCGTTGAGTATAAACTACTAGCTCAAAATGCTTAAGTTAAAGTATACCCATCAGACCCTTATAAGTCAATTTTAGTCTTTGTCACTTTCGATATGGGACTAATTGGGATGTTACAATCTCTCATAGCTTGACGTCCTCATCAAAGCCCAATATAACTCAGAATAAACCCTAGCATAGTACATGTGAGATATAGCTTAATGGTGGCTCCATGTTGTGACGTGTTACCCATCCACGGATAGTCTTTTCCTACTCGAGCCCCTCACCGTGCCCCTAGACTAGGTTGGCTATGATACCAATACTCACGACCCGACCTGATGGGAAAACTAGTCAATTAACTTCATTGAACTTAAACCACTAGCTCAAAATACTTAAGCTGAAGCTAACAGTAGTATAATCATCAAACTCTTACAAGTCAATCTTAGTCTTTGCCCACTTCCGATGTGGTGGGACTAATTGGGGTGTTATAGCTCCGTCCATGAGAGCTACAGACAAGCATCAAACATAAGGTACAAAGCTCCATTAGTTTAGAATAGGAAAGTGGTAATAGATCTACTTGTTGCAGGGTATCTCCATTTCAAGACCAAAAGTTGTAAATGACTACTAAGACACATATATGATAGTCAACATTAGAAGGATAAACCACAAACATAAATAAAATATTCATTAAACTCAACTAGGTAAAATGCTCGACATTGTTCAATATCAATAACCCATTCCAGTAGTTGGTGTACTAAAAAAAAATGTGAACAAACAACAAAAAACCTAGCAAGATCGAGATAGAAAATTGTATTAGAGGGACCCAAGCATGTTAAGTATAACATGTTCATAATACTTTAGGCCTAAAATGTTGCATATAGGTGAAATCTTGTAGAGTGAGAAATATGAACATATACATTGTCATGTTGTTCCTTTGCATGTACTTGCTACATGTAAGTTGCTTGCTTGAGGATGTGAAAAACAATGTCTAAAATAAGCATGTCCCTTCAGTTGAGATACATGCTTGTATTTTTCACTGCTAGCCGACTACCATAAGCAGGAGGTAGCAATACAGAGATGTCGTCAACAAGAAGAGAACAATTTGAGAGAAAAATGCCTAACTATACTTGCACACAAGTCACAGGTCAAAAACATACAAGTAATCAGATGAGGACTGGTGAACTTATGCTACTGGTAGGAAACATCTTTTGAGGATCAATAACAAACCTGGTGCCAGCACAATGAGATGCTCATCCCGTGTTCAAAATCTGAAAATACCATTTAAATGAATCCACGGACTCATTTCAGAAAAAAAAAATCACCAAAATTACTGAGGTAGACTTATAGATTTAATCTGACTGCATTTTATCTAAACTAGAATTTGAAAAAACAGTAATGTGAAATTGGCAAGGTGTTAAGAGAGGAAACAATTGTCTGTTATTTGTAGCAGATGAACTCCTGATATATCATATCACGGCAGTTAAGCAGACATTCTTCTGATATGTTGTCTGGATCATAATCAAAGCAGTGAAGCACCCAAATGATGCCATCATAGAAGATGCAACACAGAAAAGCCTTTCTATGCTAGTGAGAACTCTACATAAAACTGTTTCCCCGAAGAACTCTTCCACTAGCTTTTATCTTGCTTGAAAATTTCCATAGTCACTCAGAAGCATGATGTACAATTAGACACTTGCATGGAGCTGTAGAGAAGCATTATCTTCAACAGCTGAACCATAGATACGATACAAAGCACTCACATATACTTCCCTTGTATGCCCTTTGAGATTTGAAAGATGACATAAGTTGTAGTCTCAAAGTACAAGAAAAAGGACTTCTGGTTCAGGATTGTCATTCTTAGCACATTTATGCATCTACATAC